TGAGCTGGGATGGGTTCAGGTCCTGAGGGAGTGAGGCACAAAAATACCCCACCCAGACATGCCTGTCTACTGTTTATATCAGTGGGACCGTTTATAATAGTGGGGATGAATCATCCTTGTCTTAATTTAGCATAGATCCACAGCCGGCTCTACTCTATACTAAATTAACTAGCACTCATTTAAATCCGGAGTGATATTTGAAACAGAAGCATATTTAAACATGTGAGCCAAAATTAGAAGCTGGCTGCTATACTGATATGCAAAGCACATGCTTCTAAAGATCTACTGTAACTAAAAGTATTTGTTTTTAATTTGCAAATTACTGCACTGTTTTTAAAGCAGGTGATTAGATGAAGCCTAGCATGAGGATGAGATTATTCATAAGCTCTCCTATGAGCAGCTTTTGCCTCATGAGATGTATTGTTTTTATTTGATTCATTCTTAAATGCTTGGAGGAATGTTGGTAAATGTCATTTATCACCTCTTCCAGCAATTTTGGTGTCTCAAATGTGAACCAGGGAATTGAGGCTCATCTTTATACATAATATCTCATAAAGTGTATGGTACAAATGATGACCACTATTAAAAAGGTGACAAAGAACGTAGATGGGATGGATGCAAGCATTATTGGTATGCAAATGTGCCTTTTTGAGACTGATCGTGTATCTGTTTAAAAAGCCAGCATCGAAAATTACAGTCTTCTTTTAGTCATGTAACTGTCAATCAGAGCACACTATCAGAGCACACTCTTATAATATAATTCATTCCATTTTCACTCCTGGTCAAAATGTGTCATCTATGAGTGTGTATGTTTACATGGTGTACAACTCCTGCTGTCTTTGAGTCTTGCTGTGCACAATTCCTAATATTCCCAAAAATATTTCACTATGCTCACAATTTACTCACCTTTAGTTTAATATTCTAATATTCAGTTAATTAGTTAATTAATGCATATAATCACCAAAATTGAATGAAAGGCACAAAAAAGCCATACGTTTTTCATAGTTATTGTTAGGCCATTTCATAAATAGTTGTATACATAAATGTATCCAGAATCATGCAGTTCTATTTTGCACACAAACAGC